TCAGTATCGGACCGATACCGATACGTAATATCGGATCGGTCCATCTCTAATACATACTGGAGTAGAAGTTATGGTATTTAAGAGAAAAACGTGGGACAGATTTATTAAGAACCTTTTTTAAAAAATTGTATTTAAAGAAATAGACACAAAAAAGATACATGTTATTGGCCAAAACTATAACCTGATATAAATTTGTCTGATCTCCTAGTCGGGGTCATAATCTGGGACATTCCTCTGCACACGTGCCCCTTCACTGCATGCTTTCTTCCTCGCTGTGTGAAAACAGTGACGCTTCAGCTTGATTTTGGTAAGGAGGACACCATCACAGGGAGGATATACTGGAAGGTCGCGAGTCAAGACTGTGTCAGTTTCAGCAAACGACTCCTGTATTTTTAGACACCCCAGGACACTACAGTAAAACTGTGTTGACTGCCTAATGCTGTGGGTGAATTTGCGATGTGACTGTCCCATTCCTGTCCTTCTTTGCCTCCTTTGGGCTTCAAAGCTTTGCACTCTCCTGAAAACTGCTGTGCTATTGCCAGTCTGTCTGTTCAGATTGAAAGTTGATGTTTTTCTGTGTGGTGAAATCAAAGCACACACATAATACGTGTAATGGCACTGTCACACTACAGTGGTGGTGATCTGGTGATTGCACTGCATTTCTGTTACATTAAGCGACCCATTGCAAATAGTTGCAGTGACCAACTGGTGTCCCGGAGGTTGAGCATGCAACATCCTCAGCTTCTGGACAACCACTTTTAATTGTAAGGCGCTTGCAGAGGTCAGCTGGTTGGAGGGAACCTATATGTTTGGTCTTATTTTTTTTTTTATGGTAGATTGCCAGATTTTTTTAACTGCACCCTATGCACAAAAAAGCAGCATAGCATTAGCTCTGGCCATTAACTCAAATTTCCCTGCATTCCCCGAAGATCAGCTGGTCTCAGTGGAAGCCAAAATCATCTGATGGCTCATCGTTCTTTGCATCATATTGTCAAGCTATTTGTGCAGCTTTAGTTGGCTCCCAGCTGCTACATAACCACTGATCTTATTTTCTTTCTGTGTGATACCTTTAAAGGTTATCTGTTATCAGTAATGCTTGTTGTTGCTCTGATTTTCCATTTATGAACAAATATTTGAAGTATAAATGGCAACGTGTAAAAATGCAATGTGGTTCCTGATATTTGTATAAGTATACATTTTAGTCTAAGAGGCTTTTTGAGTGTCGATATGTATGATTTTTTTTAATCAAACTGATAATCAAGCAGTAACTACGTCAGGTTTTTTTTATCCTTTCAGCGGTTTGTATACAAATAGACAAAAGAAAGGCATCTTAGCACTCAGACATGCTACTGCAATTGGTAACAGCATTTTTAGCACACCGATTTTGCAGTTAAGCACATTTCCTCTGAGAAGAAACTATTTCTGTTTTTATTTTCTGGTTCTGGTATTTTATGTTATTTTAGCACACAGAGGTTTTTTGTCACTTCAGGGTTGTATTGGTAAAAAACATCTGTATAAGTTTGAGGACAGCTCAAACTCTAAAATAACTTTAGATTGTTTTTGGTTTGAGATGGTCGTTACACACACTGCCATCTGATTGGTTTAGTCTTGGCTGCTGCTGCATCTCTGTCTAGTTACAGCCGTGATGGATGGTACCCATTCACTGTAGCATGTGTTGGGGCTGGACTCTGTAAGCCTTGATGCATGGCTTACAGTCTGTATAGATTGTGTGTGTGCGTGCATGTGTGTGTGTGTGTGTGTGTGTGTGTGTGAATAGGGTTAAACCAGAGGCTGTCAGACTGCCATCGTTAACATATGGCTTGCCAGTCATCAGGATTCCCATCAGGTCTATTCATCCATCTATCTTTCCATCTTTTTGCCCTCTCGCCATTTCATGTCTACTAAAAATGATTCCTCCATCGCCTCCTATTTGCTTTCATCTTCCCTTTTATCCACCCCCTGACTTCTATTTCTCACAAATGCTCTTCATCTCTGCATTTTTATCTCCCATCCCTCCCTCATGTATTCGTCATCTGTTCTACCTTTCATCCATCTGTCAGAGACATCGCCGTGTCTCTTCTCTGAGACTGTAAACTTGTTTTGCACATCCTTAAAGAAAGTAACATCTTAAAGAAAGGTTACGACTTCTTAAAGCAACATTCGCTATGTCCCCTCCAGCAGTCAACGCAGGCAGCAAAGAAACCCTACCGCCTCAAAAAATGACCGAGACTTTTTCAAAATGTCATTGTAGGAAGTTGATCACCTTGAAGAGCTTTCTGAAGGTGGGCTGTCACCTTCAAGAAACTTAAATCAATTATAACGAGAGCGCTCTAACTTAATCAGATTAGGCATCATTTTACATAAAGGCAGGTCAAAGTATACTTTCTCTAGTATGCTTCCATATGGGATATACACTGTGTACAGGGGTCCCTCGCTATAACGCGGTTCACCTTTTGCGGTCTCGCTGTTTCGCTGATTTTTTTTGGTGCAATTTTGCTTTTGCTTTTTTTTTTTGCTTTTTTTTTTTTTGTGTTCGGCGTCCTGATTGGCTGTAGACCAATGTCAATCAATCTTGTGTCGTGTCTCCTCCACAGTACAGAATGGGTTCAGCTTGTCAAATTTATCTTAATCTTCGATCGCCAGCAGTGTGACTCTGAAGTGCTGCACTGTATGTTTGTAAGCTTTCTCCCATAAACACAAAAATGTCGATCAAAGGCAACCGCGGGTCCCTTTGGTTTTATTTTATAATAGTGGACTTATTTTTCTACGAAGGTTTGAACTTTTACAGTGTTTAAACCATAGAGAAAAGTGTGAACTGTCATGGTCCTGGGTCATTTTGACCCAGCGTTTTGTGTTTCCTTGAAGTTCATTTTTGTGCCTTGTGTTTAGTCTGATTTTGTATTAGTTTAGGGTTGAACCTGAAGTTTAGTGTTTTATCAGCCCTACCTGTGTCTGTCCTCGGTGCTCTGTTCATGTCCCCGTGTTGTGTTGTAAATCAGTCTGTGTAGGTTCCCGTTAGTATTTCTCATGCTTTATTGTCTGTTTCTGCCACTGCCACTTGTAAATAAACGTCCCACTCTTCATCAGTCGCTTGCTTGCATTTTGGGTCCTCATTCATCTACAACACGACTGCTGCCCCAGCCGTGACATGAACATGTTCAAGCCTGTCGGAGAAACGTGTATAAAGGGTGTAGTGACGGGTTTTACAGCCATAAAACATCTATAAACAATAAAGTTGGCTACTTCACAGATTTTTAGAACGTAACTGCCGCGATACATGAGGATAAACAAGGGACCCCTGTACTTGTTCAGTAACACATCAGGGTGGTTTGATCTCAATTATAGACTTAAAAGAAATGACATTAAAAGAAATGACTGCAGTTAATTATAGATTTTGTTAAAGTTTTGCTGTTATGTTGGCTCTGACTTCACCATATAGCATGTAATAGAAAACATACAAAAATGTATGGTAAGTGTACTGCTGTTAGCTAGGTATCATTGGCATTGCCATCGATGCTGAGGACATATCATCCTCCTATTGGTTGAAAATGTAATGTTT